TATATATATATATATATATATATATATATATATATATATATTACTAAAACATTAAGATTTTCTATTATATAGCAAATAAAGACACCACTGTTCGGGAGCACAATGATGGCACTGATCCAGCCCACCAGAACACCAGAGCAGCACACACACACAACAAGAACGAAACGCGCATTTGAGCGTGTTTATCGATGTCATCAAAGCATGCGACAGAAGTATTAAAACGGAGTAAGGATTATACATGTCACTTAGCCTATTTATAGATAAAAATAGCAATAATGGCATATAACAGAAAACACAAACAACACATATGAATTATTAGTTATTCTGACGAATTTTATGTTTATATGTATGCCATTAGACATGCAATTTATGTGTTGATCTTAAACAAAACAAATTTCAGATCATTGAGTCTTTAATTTAGGTCAGTTATTTCAAAATTAATCGAGAAATATCGCTTATATTAAACACTATGTAGGCTAATGTGACAAATTGTTTAATCGTTCGGTAGGCTAGGACTTTTTTTTTTAGAATTTCAACAGAAGAAATTGCATCAAGTTATGGTTATGTAGCTATATAATGTATTTTTTATCTGTCAGGTATACGAACTTTTAAAACTCTTTCACCAACAATGAAGCGTGCCGATCCGAACACCCACATAACACTGTTCTTTCGGGACATCCTTGCTCTCCACGATACAAGTCGTCACCTCGGAAAGTTCGTTTTGGTTGTGACTGTACTCGTGCCTCACCAAATGAACCTGCCAAGATAAACGACTTGTACAGAATGAATCGTTTATTCAGGTTTACATCGTCACACTTTTAGCTAAAACACACGCCTTGTTTGAGTATTATCGAGTAGGTGGAGTGTGATACGAAAATGAAGCGAAAGGGCTCCAAATTCTTAGACGTAAACTTTAGCAAGCTCAGTTGTGAGCGGAGGATAGGAAACCACTATTAACGTATAGAAACACCGATGTCCAGCTGAAGAGTTTAGTTAATTCTGCTCCCTTGTGCCTGTCAAGTTTCAAATTAGTTTGGATATGTGTCGCGTGCGCACAGCGAGCCTCGGTACTGCCTCCGTAAGTTCACTTCATTTCATGAACAGAGGTATTCTATTCTCTTGCATCGAGACATTCAACGCCAAACTTTTCTAGTCATTAATTCTCGTTTTACTCGTTTGCAGTACGTAGGCTATGTACAGCGAACGGATCAGTGGGTCGCTGTATTAAGATGATATTTCGTTTCAAATGTCTCTAGAAATTATAAAGAGTCTAATTATTTTTAGACCATGGTGTAAAGAAGAGCAGGGACTGAACGATTAAAAAGTGTTTTCATGTTTTCATAGGTTAGGAAACCTAGTATGTCGCTGTTCAGTAAGCATTCGTCAAGTCCTACAAGTGAATATTACTCTATGCTACATCAGTGTATTTATTGTTTCAAAAATATCTTTGCCTTGCAACTTGCAAATTGATTTCTAAAGCTGGCAAAGAGTGGAGTGGCGAAATGTTTTCATTAAATGGAAACCAATGACCTGCGGCTTTTGAATAAATAGCCTTTACCACTCCTTTTTATGTTTATCCTACCATAAATCAGTTAACCGGGCAGCAAAGGGACATACGACCGTCTAAAAAGTGCTTGAAGACTACCCATAGCTCATTACCGTCTGATCTATTCTACGTCTCCGTTATACGTTATCGTTTTTCCGCAAACGATGTTAAAAAGTTACTATTATTATTATTATTATAAGCAACTGATAGGCTACCAGCCCATCATTTCCATTTAAACCTTTCACTCTGAGTCCTAGAAACGCTTCTTTACCATGTTTTAGTCGGATTTCTACATTTATTATATAATGAATTAATGTAACATTTATTATAGTGCTTTGAATCGTTTGAACCCGAATTGATAATCAATAATTAATAAAGATTGTAGTTAGGCTATTATTTTTATATATAAATTATATATATATATATATATATAAAAATTAGTCTAGATTACACGTCAAGTCATATATGGTAGGATATTTTTCTTTTTATGAATATAAAAAGACAATGAAAAGACTATGCACATTTATTGTTTTTAATAACACTACCTCTCTAACCAAGCAACCTTTCAAATGCCGTGTTGGGTTTGGATGTCCGTTTTGTGTTAAAAAATAACACGTTTCTTGGCGGCCACTTTGACCAACTAAAAACTGCAGCTAGCCTATTCGTAGCTTATCAATTTTATCATTACGCTCAAGTTATATGAAAAATGAATATAGGTCTACGTATGAATATGAAATTGATAAATCGTTTTTTATTTTATTTTTATTTTATTTTATTTTATTTATTTATTTTAATTTCTCAGTCTGCTTTTCAGGTGAATGAAATAGGCTAACTTTCTTTTTTAAAACAAGAATTATTGTGTGGTCATGTTTTGTCTATTC